TCACAAGCTCCAGCAGGTCATAGATGGAGTAGATGTTAGGGTGGGCCAGCCCAAGGCCCAGCTATGGGCCTGGGGGTTAGTTGAGCTTCTCAAGCCAGGACTCTGGGGCCGCCCCCCCTCAGGCGACAGGTGGAGCCAGCTCCTCTTCACCCATTCCATCAAGTCAGCTTAAGGACCCAGTTTGGGCTGTGGGTGACTTGCACCCGCCTGAGCTGAATCAAGAAAGTATCTTTTAAGGGGGAAAGAAGGTGTAAATAATTTGTAAAGTATATTTATAGTATAAGCAAATTACTATGAAGTTGGGCACAAATTATATAATCCTTGCCTTTCAAATTATTTCTCAGATAAGTTCCATAAATAAACACTAAGTAATATTTACCGATGACATTAAATAGTATTTTAAATCTTTACAGTAATTTGAGTTTAATTTAGAATGCAAGTAGCAATGTACTAGCAAAGTAAAGGACATTTTCTCAGAGCAGGTCCTACATGAATTTCATGTGCTCACACCGTTCGTGGTGTTCTGTGCTTTCTCCAACCTGCTGCCTTAGTGAGTTTCTTTTCCTTCTGACCTTCGAAACCATAGTGATATCATTAGCTACTTTCTATATGTCTTGATTCTTTTGACTATTTCGAAGATCACCTTTCTGTTGACCCCATCACTTCCCCTTGCTTTATTTTAAATCTGTGGCTCATGGCATAATATAATGTAATTTATACTTTTGGCTCAAGAAACTGCTTGAAAAATATGATAAAACTGACAGTATTGACCCAGCAGAAAAATAAGGATTTAAGTAGCCTTTGTACTGAAGCTAAGTTTAAGATTTGGAAAGGAAAAGAAGAAAAACAGTACCCCTAAAAATTTTGAAGGGACTTTGTTTTTCATACTGATTGAGAAATGTATTACTCACTCCCTAACGATACATATTTGTATTGATACAGACAATGCCATTGAAAAATCAGTGGCTGTAATTTTCATTAGCAAAATGGCTACAATCATCAATCAGAAACTCATACTTAATACAGAATCAGAAAATAGCAAAAGTAGCTTAACTCATATGAACTTGAACATCTTATTCCTTAAATTGTAATAGACTACACATAACGTAATTTACTATTGCTGCTGTTTTTATGTGGGTAGTTCCATGCAGCCAGTCACCTCACCCATCTCCAAACTTTGCACCTCCTTCAGTGACTGAAACTCTATGCACGAAGTCGCCATTGCACTTTATTTTGTATATTATTATTATTATTATTATTATTATTATTATTATTATTATGACAGGGTTTCTCTGTGTAGCCCTGCCTGTAGACAGAGATCCACCTACTGCTGCCTCCCAAGTGTTAGAATTAAAGGCATATGCCACCACCTTACTCATTTTTTAAATTTTAAAAAAAAATGTATTTAAGAGTTACAGAAAAGACAAAAACAAAGCTTTCACTTGCTGTATTAAGCCATAGTAGTATGTTTTCAAGAACAAACATACAGACTAGTATGCTATAGTTAAGAAACCTTCTTATGAAAGAGAAGTCACGAGGTGATTCCAGGACCTCTCTTCAGTGGCACTTACTACTCTGGGACTCTGGGCAGTAGTCAGCCTCTACAGCTACCACAAATGCAGTGAATCCCCATCTGAATCCTCTTGTCAGCACACCTGTGAAGGGACCGTGGTTTCCAAAGCCACCTGTGTCCCCAGCCTTCTCGCCAGCCCAGGGGTCCTCAGCCCTCCTGCAGCAAGCTTCTCCTGGACAGGTCTATTGTGTTGTCAGTTTCCCACTGTCTGTAATGTGGAAGTTCCAGTTTACCATGCCCCTGTTCCTGTTGGTGTCCACGTCCAGAGGCCGTGTCTGACAGCAGTCTGGCCTCAGGACACTCCCCATTCTTTGCATTGGTACACTGTAGCCCTTATGTCCATTAGATCCCATCTGTCTGTTCATCTGCTAATTATATGGTACCCTACCATAGATATTTGATACAATGGCAAGAGAGAGAACTCTCAAAAACTTACATATAGCAGCGTCACCATGTTTGTTCAACCTGTGGTTTTTATCTGTGTAGATAGGGTACATAGACTTTGTATCTGACCTCCAAATACCGTAAAGAATACTCATTTCATAATTCAGTGTCTGCATTTAATTTTGTGGTCTCTAGGGGGGAAAAAATCTCATTTAAAAATTCTACATGGTTTAGGACAATTAAGGATATCAAAGAAGCATTTAAAATATTAAGACCTACTCTGTTTTCTAGACAGTAGGAAAGCAATACCACTTAATAGGTTAGTCACTGCTGTGCACTTGAGAAGTACTTTGGAGTCATTTGTCTGTCTAAGGGAGGGCACGTTAACACCATTGGTTAATAGATGAGAACTTTTCCTCCCTGCACTTAGGGATTTGAATTACAGAATTTACCCAGAATATTCTAAGGCAGCAGAATCCTTTTTAATAACCTCTTCATCTCTTAGGTATTACTAAGATTTTTTTTCCAGCAGGGTTTTAAAAACTAGAAACAAAGATATGTCGTATTTTGTAGTAGCAAGAAATACACTTAGCTCAAAGATTTGTAAGAAATTACTCATACAGAATTACAAAATAAATTTGGAAGAAGTTTTTGAGCAAATGTAGCTTTAATATATACCTAATTCATGCTTTTCTTCCTGAAGGAGAACCTGGGGAATCTTGTACCTGCAATAATTCACTGGCTGCATCCCGTTGGCCTGTGTGTGATGTTGTTAACAAAGAAAAAGGGAAGAAACCATGGGTGTTTCTCTCCTGAGCTTTTCGTAATCCTCTGCGAGGCTGCATCTCTGTATTACTGCTTATGTTATTAGTGGAAAATAATCTAAAGTGAGGGCATGTTTTCAGGAACGTCATAATTTGAGGAAATCAAGGGCCTAGACGTCTTGCTGTCCTGATCTTTATTCATTTAGTTATACAGTATCATGAAGGTGAAAATCCCAAAGCCCGCTTTGTTTTGTTGTCTGTAAATGTTTACTCCTACTCTTGGTTTCTTAGCTTTTTAATACTGTATAAATATTAATCACTAGGTGGTCTTAATGTGGATCTCTAACACTTCTACAAAGTCATTGTCAGAGAATTTATTCTAATTCAAGGTTAATTAGTGTACCATTAAAATAATGTGTTACAAAAATTAATTACATTGCAGGTCAGAACATGTATTAAAAAGCATAGTGCAAATGTCTGCGAGTGCATCATCCTTCTTAAAACATGACTGTGTGCCATCTTTCTGGAAACTCACCCCTGAGGTCCAGTCACAGGTGTTTCCCCTAAAGTAAATTTTGGCACCACATGTGACAGATTGAAAATATAACCCCCATTAACGGTGGAAGTGTTGCTCATCTACTCTGCCATCAGAACAGCGAAGGATTCACAGTTCAGCATTAGTTGGTGAAACATGATTGGGTCAGACCTAATGAAAAATCAGAAGCCTGCTTGAGAAGTAGAAATTACCTATCTGTCTTGTTGTAAAAGTACGTAGTATTAAGTTTTCCCATTGTGATACAGTTCTCATATGTATGCTACGGAAGCATGCCACACACCATAACTATGCACAAAAGTACATAGTATTAAGTTTTCCTACTATGAAATAGTTCTCATTTGTATGCTACGGAAGCATGCCACACACTGTAATTATGCAGTGATCCTTATCAATAGTTGAACTTCATACCTACTCTGAATAAAGGTAGAATTAATGATCTGATTCTTCTTTTTCTTTTTTTCTTCTTCTCTTCCTCCTCTTCCTCCTCCTTCCTTCTTGTTCTTTCTTCTTTTTTGAGACAGGGTCTCTCTGCATAGACATGTCTATCCTGGAGTTTACCATGTAGACCAGTCTGGCCTTGAACTCACAGAAATCAGCCTGCCTCTGCTTCTCTAGTGCAGGGACTAAAGGCATGTACCACCATACAAGGCTGATTTGCCCACATTTTCAAACTTTTATTCCCCTCTTTTATAATTTTATGTGTGCAAAATTCTTTTAGGATTTTGTGTAAGAAAACAGATACTCACAGGTAAATAAAAGAAAATCAAACAAGTGAAAACAATAAAAAAAAAAGAAATCTGTAAGGAAGAGGTTGTCTTAGCCATTTATTCAATTAGTTGAACTAATAGATATATCAAGAGAGTCTACATGATAAAAACAGTGTAGGTGGGTTTAGAAAAGCTACCTTAGAGGGCACCTTTTAAAGTCATCCTTGTCCCAACTTTTGTATGTTTAAATGTTCTCTACAGTGACAGTCAGGGGTTGCAGCTTAATGTGGAAATGCATCTTATTCTTTATAAAGACATCACTGTCATCCTCAGATTAGAGTTATACCATACATCATCCATTTATTCATTCAGAAGAACCCTGCAACTTTGGGGGATTGTCTGTTTGGGGGCCAAGTAGGCTTCATTTATTAGGTACACCAAGATTTTCTGCCAGTCAAAAACAGGAATAATACATTAATAGTAATTGTAAATGTTTGATATGTAAAAGTCAAAAGTAGTGTGTCATGAGGCTGGAAAGATGGCTCAGCAGTGAGCTTATTCATTCAACAAATATTCTTATTACATTTTATGTATTTATTTGTGCATGTATGTGCACACATGTACACCTGCACAGAGATCCAAGAACAGCTTGCCACAGTCGGTTCTCTTCCATCTTGTAGATCCTGGAAATGGATCTCAGGTCATCAGGCTTGGTAGCAGGCATCTTTATGGGCTAAGCCATTTTGCCAGCCCAGCTCATATTATTGATTTACCATTATTCAGGTAAGGAAATTGATTAGATCAAAGAAGTTACTGGGCTTATGTGCGATAGATCAGAAGTAGAATTTGGGGCTTCCCGTTGCTTGTCTGTTGCTTTCCCATAGTGCATTTTATATCATCCTCAGAATAATTAATCTACAATTTTACATATCTGTTTGCCCATCTTTCTTAGCATATGAACTCTGTATGACCCCACACGTAGATTAACAAGTCCCTTCTTTGTCTCCTACCTGTAGGGCAGAGCTCTGCTCCACTGGGCGTGTGACCGAGGACATAAGGAGCTGGTCACAGTCTTACTGCAGTATGAAGCTAACATTAATTGTCAGGTAAGAGTAGCCTCAAAATGAGCTTGCTTCTCTTCTTCTTAATTAAGATTCAATCATTTGTATTGTATGTGTAGGGGTGTTTTGCCTGTGTGTATGTCTGTGAATACATGTGTGCAGTGGCCCAGGGAGGCCAGAAGAGGGTACTGGATCCTCTGAGACGGAGTAGGGCTGTGGGCCTTGGGAATCCAACCTCTGTCCTCTGGAAAAGCAGCCAGTGCTCGTAACCATCACTCCAGCCCCTAAAAAGGAGCTTAAAAACAAACAAACAGACAAAACCTGAAGTAAAATTTTTGTAAGGAAATTTATGAGATTAGATGTCTTAAGGCATATGTCACCACAGGCCATGCTGTAGAGCTCCACAGTGTTGCCATCATCCAGTGGGAAATCCTGCAGCACTTACACACTTATTTCTGCTTTCCTCTCGCCCCAAACCCTGCGACCACTAATCTGCTTGTTTTCCTTTCTTTTCTCTTTTTCTTTCTTTCTTTTTTTTTTTGTTTGTTTGTTTGGTTTTTGGTTTTTGGAGACAGGGTTTCTCTGTGTGCTCAGGCTGTCCTGAAACTCAGTCTGTAGACCTGGCCGGCCTCAAACTCAGAGATCCACCTTGCCTCTGCCTCCCAAGTGCTGGCATTAAAGGCGTGCACCACCACCACCACCACCACCACCACCACCCGGCTCTGAACTATTTCCTGTAGGAGTTGTACCATTTTACACTCCACCACCAGTGTTTGTGACTGCCAACTTCACTCATCCTTATTTTCCCTTCCTTCTTAAATATCATCCTAATGGATGGAACTTTACCTCAACGTGATAGGATTTTGATGTACCTTTCCCTAATGACTAAGCAGTGCTGAGCCTCGTGTGTGTGTGTGTGTGTGTGTGTGTGTGTGTGTGTGTGTGGCACGCATTCATGTTTGTTTGTTTTGTTGAGACAGTATTTCTCTGTGTAGTCCTGGCTATCCTGGAACTTACTCTGTAGACAAGGCTAGGCCTGTCTCTGCCTCCCAAGCGCTGGTATTAAGGGCATGTACCACCACTGCATGACTCCTTTGGTATATCTTAAAATTTATATTTCACTTTATGAACCATTTGTTCATGTCTTTTGCCTAATATATTATTAGATTGATAATTTTAAAAGATTTTAGAAACGTTTTATGTATCAAGACAAAGTTTTAGTGTGCATATGACATGTTAAAGCTGTTCCTCATGCTCTCTTCTGGAACTTTCTCCATTTCATGGTTTCTTTGAGCCATCGAGATTACCCTGTGTCTTGTATATGTTAATAGAGATTTTATTTTTTCCAGATGTCGAGCAGGTTGTTCTAATGTTCATTGAATAATCCTTTTTGCTTCTTGTGACTTGGAGCGTCTTCCTTACCATATATCTGGTCCTCATTTCAGTCTATTGGACTGTCCTCCATCCCGTGACTCTGTGTGTCTGTATGTTCTTGGGGCATGCCCTTTCAAGAGCATATGCTGTGGAATGTTCTGTATGGCAAATGTGTTGCTCTGATCGGTTGGTAAATAAAACACTGATTGCCCAGTAGCCAGGCAGGAAGTATAGGCGGGACAAGGAGGAGAATAAAGCTGGGAAGTGGAAGGCTGAGGCAGAGAGACACTGCCAGCCGCCATGATGACAAACAGCATGTGAAGATGCCGGTAAGCCACGAGCCATGTGGCAAGGTATAGATTTATAGAAATGGATTAATTTAAGCTGTAAGAACAGTTAGCAAGAAGCCTGCCACGGCCATACAGTTTGTAACCAATATAAGTCTCTGTGTTTACTTGGTCGGGTTTGAGCGGCTGTGGGACTGGCCGGTGAGAGAGATTTGTCCTGACTGTGGGCCAGGCAGGAAAACTCTAGCTACAAGCATAGCTTCAAATGATTTAACGTTGGACAAGATAGTGTCATTGCTGTTCATTTGGGATTTTTTCTACAGTTTTGCTTTACTGTTTGTAAATGTTAGAAGTCGTCATTTTATTCTCACCTTCCTAAACCACTACCGCCACTAAGTTAAAGCGAACAGCAGGAACCCGTGGGTGTATTCATGTCTTTACATGATTGTAAAGAGTTTCCGGGTGATTTAAAGGAAAATGTTCTGTAGGTAGAGTTTTCCTGCCTGGCCCACAGTCAGGACAAATCTCTCTCACCTGCCAGTCCCACAGACGCTCAGACCCGACCAAGTAAACACAGAGACTTATATTGCTTACAAACTGTATGGCCGTGGCAGGCTTCTTGCTAACTGTTCTTACAGCTTAAATTAATCCATTTCCATTAATCTATACCTTGCCACATGGCTCGTGGCTTACCGGCATCTTCACATGCTATTTGTCATCGTGGCGGCTGGCAGTGTCTCTCTGACTCAGCCTTCCACTTCCCAGCTTTATTCTCCTCCTTGTCCCGCCTACACTTCCTGCCTAGCCAATGGCCAATCAGTGTTTTATTTATTGACTAATTAGCAACATATTTGCCATACAGAACATCCCACAGCAATGTTCCCATGTTAGGCATTGTCTGAGCTTTTTTTTTTTTTTTTTTTGCCAGTTCTGTTGTTGGGATAGGACAAAGCAGACAGTCCCAAACCCTGCCTTGTGTGGCTTTCTAGAGCACTGTTGACTGAACACTAGTTTTGTGCAGAGCTGAGGGTGGGTTTTAGGATAAATTGGTTAGGATGGCATGGTGCCTGGCAGTGTCTTCCTTGCCCCTGCACTCACGTGGTCACTTGATGTCGCTCCCATCCTCGCTTTAACTTTGTTCTTGATGGTTATAATCTGATCTATCTAGTGCCCGTTAATGGGAATGCTGTTGGCTCTGCCGTCTGAGTTGATAACATGCTTCCAAGTCAGAGGGCTTCCGCACATTAGGTCTGGGGTAGCTTTCCCACTCACTGCCGCTTCTCTGTTGGTCTTGTTATTGAAAGCGCTTTTCAAATACAGACAATGCAAACGTAATAAATGGATGGAAAGGTTCATCTCCCTCATGACTCAATCTTTCTTAAACAATATTATTATTGACTGGCCTATTGGTTGCCAAAAAAGAAAATCAATGTTATTAGAACTGTTTGCTTGGCCATAGATCTTGGTACTAACCCAGCACAGGCAGGCTGGTGTTATCAACTGTCTGAAGAATAACTTTTCCTGTGCGTGTGGAGTGAAGTCCTTGGAGCTGTATCAGGTCTGTTCTGTGTGTTCCCGTCATTTTACTCTTGCATCTGTCTCAGAAATCCCTTTGCTGAACTGCAGCGGCTGTATTCTGTGGGGCTGCTGAGGTTGGAACGAATGTTTATGTCTGAGAAAGCCTTTGTGCTCTCATCTGTAGCTGTGTACTAGTATTTTGTTTCTTCTACTTAGTTTTGATTTTGGTTCCACTCTGTCACATTTGGTGTTAGGATAGTGTGTGTGTGTGTGTGTGTGTGTGTGTGTGTGTGTGTGTGTGTGTGTGTGTGTGTGTAGACACACTGCTACGTGGTCCTCTTCTTGAGTCATCTTTTCAGTTCTTGAAACTTCTCCACAAACACGTGATCTTGATACCTCTGTTGCTGTAGTAAAACACTCTGATCAAAAGCTGCTTGGGGGGAAAGGGTTCATTTCAGCTTCAACTTCCAGGCCCCAGCCCATCCCTGAGGGGAAGCAGGGATGGACCTCAAGCAGGGACTAGAGCAGAAACCAGGGAGAAGTGCTGCTCAGCTAACCTTTTTACACAGTCGAGGACCCCAACCCAGGGACGGCCCCACCCACAGTCAGTGGGGCTCTCCACATCCTTCGTTAGTCAAGACAGTCTTTCCAGACATAGCCACAGGCCAGTATGATGGAGGCAATGAGGTTTCCACTTCCCAGTAACTCTAGAGAGTCAAATTGACAATAAAACTAACCAAGACAACATTAAAAGATATTTGGATGTCAAAGATTTACTGGTAGGTGTGCTCAGATTTGTGTAAAGTAGTATCAAGGCAGTAAATGGGATGGGGCGTGTAAGATTCTGTGGGTTCTAAGTATTCACCTGTGTAATGGGTATAACAAGTCAAAAGAGAAGCATTTTGAATAGATGTGTTTAAGAGCTTTTTAAAATTTGTTTGTTTGTTTGTTTTTTTGTTTTTGGGTTTTTGTTTTTTGAGTCACAGTATCTCAATGTAGTCCTGGCTGTCCTAGAACTCACTATGTAGACTAGGCTGACTTTGACTTACAGCAGTCCTCCTGCCTCTCCTTCTCAAGTGCTGGGATTAAAGGCCTATGCCACCAGGCCCGGCCAGGACTTTATCATTTATAAATTAAATGGACAGTGACTTAGCACAAGAGCAGTGTGCCTTCAGTGAACCTTGCTGCTGTTTATTGTAAAAGGTTTCAAAACTGAGAAAACTGCAGCATAGTAAATAAGCCATTGGTGATGCTGCTGAATGTGATGGTGACATGAAACCTTTGTGTTTATGTGCATTGTCACCACACAGCCCAGTAACGTGCGTATACTGCTTTCTGTGTCCTACTGATGGAGAAAAGAAGAGCTTCGAGAATCCATGTAGCTAGTGAGAAACCCAGAATTGAACATTCTCTGAATCTAAGCTCTTAAGCTCACCACTGTAAAATTTGAATATACTGCATTCATCTTTGGTTCATAGGTTCTTTTCCTTTATTTAAAATTATTAAAGTATAAAACAAATTCAGCAAGGTACATAATCCTAAGGATACACCTCAGCGTGCCAGTGTGTACACACACACACACACACACACACACACACACACACACACACACACCTACACCTGCTCTTGTAACTACCACCTTAGGCTACTTCCTGTCAATATCCACACTTCCCATACCACCCTGAACTGACTGTTATCCTGGTTTTTAGTGCCACTGATTACTTGTAGCTCTTTGTGGAAGATTCTGCTTGACCTTTGTAATAGTATTCACTATACAGTGTATGATATCTGGTATAGTCGTTTGGATACGGCTTATTACACTCAACGTAGTATTTGTGTGAGTCATTCCTGTTGTTACATATATTA